ATGAAGGGCGATTTTTAAGAAACCCAGTGATCTGATAAACACTATAGGAGGGCATTACAATTTATTTTAAATAATTTAAAAGCAATTTTTTTATATTTTGTCATTGGGGGTGGTATTTAAGAGATAAAACAATGCGATAAATTATAAATTGTATTATAAACAGGTAAAAAAATTTAATTTACCCTGTTTGTACCATCAAACCATTTCAAACTGTTAAAAACTGTTTTTTTAATATTTTGTTGTGAGGGGTAGTTTTTTAAGGGTTGGAATATTATAAATTATTTATAATACCACAAACTATTGAAAATATTTCTATCTATAATATATGCGCTTTAAATATGTATATTAAGGTCAAATAAACTATTAATTTTATATTTTTATCATTAAGGGTGGTTTTTAAAGGTTGAAACTTTATAAAATAACGTAAATTATAACCCACAATATAAAACAATATTTATTCTACATATTAAGATATGATTTTAATCTGTATACCTAAACCTATTTTTATATTTATTCAGTTTTTTGGCATAAGAAGCGGTTTTCATCCCTTAAAAATAAGAACCGTATATCAAGCATATATAACTTTTCATCTACATGGTGAAATAAGTGTAATTCAAAATTTTCATAAAAATCGGATCTATCCGAAAGTATTGGGAGGAAACAAAGTATTATAAATTATTAAAAACTAATAGAAATTATGCTAAATGTTGAATGTTTGTTTCTTATTCTTGTCAATGTGTGTTCTATTATACAAAACGGTATACCTACTTTTGGTAAATAATTTAAGTTCACTCTCTTTAAATGCAACCAAATACTTGTCTTTCACACCAACAAATCATAGTTTATTTCCAACTAAAGCACTACCTACTAGGTATGTTGCAAAAAATAAAATAGAGATTTAACATCCTTGACAGTTCAGTAATGCTCCATAATTTATTGCTTTAAAATTGTTGTATTGGAAAAACATGGTATAAGTTTAGCTCTAAGTGTATAATAGATTTATTGTTTTTAAGTACCTATTGTTAGAATATACATAGGTCTGATCATAGTTTTTAGTGTACCTACAAGGTGTTTTCTAAGTCCATCTTTAGGAGGTATTTTTTATGCCAAACCTCGTCACTGATTTTCAAAATATTGAATTTTTAAAAATATGTGTATAATACTCGTTTATTTTATTTTTTTTTCATGATATTTGACATAGACCGATAAAATTTGAAATATCGTATAAGAAACTAATTAACGATAACAAATCAAGGAAATGGTGTAAATTTTTTTTTAAATATAACGTCCTTGTCAATTTTTGGACACTTGAGCATTACATTTTGAGAAACGTTATTTTCCATGCATTCACCTACTTAATAAGTGTTTTGAAATGGACTGTATTTTTTTTTATTGTCACTAGTTCATTGGTATATGATTCTAATTGTCGGCACGAAAAATAATTGAGAATATGAAACATAAACGAAATGCGATCGGTGGTTTTCTTACCTTGAAACTAGGCGTCTTCTTACAGTAATTTTCACACCCTCGCACTTATATCGCAGGCTGATACCGGCCAGTTTCGTAATGGAAAACACTAGAGGTTTTGGATAGCGGAATAATAGCGAACACAAGAGAGCGTATGGGTTCAAAGAGAGTCACCATTCAAGTCCATTATTTCGAGTCGTCGCCAAGACAGGCGTTGAAAACCCCCAATTTTACGCGGTAATAATAATAAGCAAAATATACAAATTCTTAGAATAATAACAGTTAGAAATAGAAAACAATAATAAATAAAAAAAACTAAATAAAATAAGCAAAATTGAAACAATAAGTTTATTTTTGTTTTAATTTATCACCTCGCTGAATATTTTAAATTGAAAGAAGAAGAATTAAAAAGTAAAAAAATTTTTATACCTACATATTTTATTCTTAGATCTCATATTTGTACCCTATTATAAAGGTTTTAAAGTAATCGAGTAAATTCAAAGCATTTTTTTCTAAAAAATCCAATCTAATGAATCGATACCAAAAATCTAGATATACGACTTCATTTTATAGGATTAAAAAAATTACTTTAATTTATGTGAATAAGCTCAATACCTTTATAATTGAGCAAAAATATAAACAAAATATGTTTAAATAAAACTAAAACAATAAAAACTAAAATACTTACTGTTTTTTCTTCGAAATACTTAAATATTAGTCGGTTGGAGTTAGGTTTGTAATGTTTAGCACACGTATGTTTGCTCTTTCTTCCACACTGCAGGAAATCAATATCTTTACTATAAATATTAATGTAAAATCAATACTGTATCTACTTCACAATTGTCTAGCTTTGTATAAGGCTAGTAAATATCAGTTTATGGATTTAGATACTCCTGTAATCAAATATTATGTGTAAACAATTAAATTATATACTGTCGGGTAGCGTAACTAAATAAATAAATAAAGATACAAATAAACGAATAATAAAATGTCTTGAAATTTGTTGCGGTTTAAGAAAGTAAAAAAATCATCTACGTCAACGTTATGTGACAGAAATAAGGAAAAATCATTCGACAACTGACCCAACAAGATAAAGAAATAAGTTTCTATGAACATCCCATCTGAATCCTATTTCTCCAAAATCATTAAAAAATATATTTTTTTCACATAAGTAAAAAAATCATATCGTCTGGGTGAAACATTTCTATATATTTCGAGATTAATTCTAAAAATATAGCTGTTACAAAGTATTTTGTACACTCTCTATATCCGCCATAAAAACATTGTAAAGCAAATAAAAATTATAAAGGTGTATGTACCATAGGGTGGGTCAAAAATCGACTCTTTTTTTTTTACTTTATACTCTGAAAAATAGGTTGCTAGACACCTCTAGAAAATTCTTTCCAAATATGAGCTCTTAATTTTAATAGGAATGTTCTCCGCTTTACAGTTTTCCATTTTTTCCTCAGTATTAGAAAAAAAAATCAAAACCCCCCAACAAACGGTCCGTAAAAAAAACCCTTCCCAAAAGACTGGGGGAAAATGAACGCTCTACAAAAAAGGTCTCTTACAACTTTTTCGTAAACCTCACCGTTTAAAAGATATTAAAGGTTGAAGTTTGATTATTTTAAGACAAATTTCTGTTTTGCTTATGAATTTTATAACTCGTTAACAAAAAAATCATTATGAAATGCGCAATTCATAGTTTTGTAGGAAATTAACTGCTCTAAATGGTCTCTTATGATTAGTCGATTAAATAAAGCGTTTAAAAGATATTCATCTTCAAACTTCAATGCACGCCAATTTTAAAAGTTTTTGATTAATAATTCGGAAATTTTCAATTTAGTTTATCAGTTTCAGGGAAATTTATACAAATTTGAGTTTGTATGAACAGAGAAATGTTTTAAACTATTTTATATTATTTATAAAGAAATTTTTTTACAGTGAATGTGTACGAATATTTTATAAATTATTAATAAAAAAATGCAAGTAAATCATGTACTCAGGTTTGTCCAACAAAGCGGCACTCATCATGTGTTATTTAGATGTAGTCATCGAGAGAGTTAAATTAACGAACAATACTCTGTTGTACTAAAAAATTAAACAATAATGTAATTCAATATACAGGGTGTTAATAAAGAATGTACAATAAATTCAACAGACGATTATTTGAGTGATTTTTAGACAAAAAGTTCAAATAAATACTGGTCCGCAGATGCTTCGTTTTCAAGATACAGGGTGTTAAACTTTTATAAAAAATTGCTATATCGTAAATATCTTAAATACCCTTTACCCAATATTGTTGAAATTTGGCACTCTTACTTGTAGTGTTAAGGGGCTAATTTAACTCTAACTTGATTAGATTTGTTATGTCCAGTGGCGTCCCGAACGGTACCTTAACGAAAATTTTTGAGAAAAAAATGTACGCCTCTGACTTGTTTTTTTTTTTGGATTAAACAACTAAAACTACAACTTTTTTGTCGCGTGAATGTTTTTCCTATCTTGATTAATTTTCGGAAAAAAAATAAAATCTCCTTAATTGCATATACTTGGACCACACAAGAAACATGAATGCGTTAAGGTACCGCTTGGGACGCCACTGGACTTAACAAATCTAATCAAGTTAGGGTTAAATTAGCCCCTTAACACTACAAATAACACTGCCAAATTACAACAATCGGGTGAAGGGTATCTAAGATATTTACGAAATAGCACTTTCTTTTATCTTGAAAACGAAGCATCTGCGGACCAATGTTTATATGAACTTTTTGTCTCAAAATCACTCAAATAATCGTCTGTTGAATTTATTGTACATACTTAATTAACACCCTGTATATAACAACGTTTAAAATAAATATTAATATACATAAAGCAACAAGTATTAAACAATGCCCAACACACGTATACAAAAACTGGCGAAAACCAGAAGACTCAATATATGTTTGATTTAATCGTTATAATGATTCCATGTAACCTACCATTTCATATAGTAGATAATAAAACATTTAATTCCTACTGGAATAAATACAACCCCGAGTGGAAATTACCATGACGGACCAGCTTGGAAGTAGATTATTTAATTATGCAAATATTACATCAGTAGATGGCGAACGATCGTTCTCTTCAGATTAAAACATTTTATCACCGCCGCGAATAAGTTTCGCTGAAACAAGGGTAGAAATATACCCGATGATGCGATCTATAACATGTCTCATCCAGATTGTGGAACTGATGGTAACGATGCGCAAAACTATTTGAGTGTTCCACAATGTTACAATAACATAAATCATCTTATAACCATTGTTCACTTTATTTTATGTTGATGACCACACGCCTTTGATGCGCGTCCAATTATAACAGCTTTAGTTATAAACATTATTCAATACAAGTAAAAGAACAGTTTTTGTTAATCATACTTATGAAATTAGGAACATCTCCCATTTTTATTAAAATTTGTACTGGAGATATAAATTATAAAACAAATTGTAAATGTGTTGAGTTACTTGATATTTAAAGTAATAAAATCATATCCGTAAGTTTAAAAACATCTTTAATACCTAAAAAATGGTATACAAATGGTATAAAAGTATACAACTTCCTTTACTAAGTACATACCTACATGTTTCAAAGTGCAATACAAATATTAAAAATAATTAAAAATGTATATATCGTATAACGACAATAATACTATTTTTTAACAAAATGTCACCATAATATTAAAATATAAATATACACCAACTCGTGATAACTCTATCATTTTCTTAAATCTACGAATATAATTTACACTGCAAATTATTTATATTATCATTGCCATGATTCAGTTACATCCAATCGGTGAATTTACTACTTTTCTAGTTTCAAAAATAGGTACCCTTAATAACGTTTTAAATTTAAAACTACTACAAAACATTTAATTTATTTTTTTTAGTTCCATAAATTATAGGATGCTAAATTATGATTGCGCGACTTTGTCTAATTTTAAGTGTTTACTGAGACTATAACTGGTGGGTCCCAACTAGCTGTTCAAAGTGGAAAGTGGTTTAAAAAATGGATAACAAAGAAAAACTCACCAAAATATGTTCTTTCCTGTAGAGGGTAAGAGGGAAACAAGAAAAAGAAAAGTGTTTGACAAAGAACACTATTGGTGGTTTAATTCGCTTGTATGTAGAGTCAACCAAATTGTTAATTTTAAATAAACACATCCAACACCGCTTCTAGATGAGTACTAATACTGAATACTACTAAATATATGACAAGAAACTTCCCAAATAGCCTCACTTATATACCGGGCGTATTCAATAACAGCAAGTTCAGCAATAAATGTATTTAATGTTATTTTGTTCGTTTGTTAAAGCGTCACTTCAGTATTATAATAAAAAGCTAGCTGGAAATAGTGATTTTGAATTTAAAACATTATTTATTGACCTAAACTTTTCTCTCATTAATAATATTCTTGGCGTTGTCATGGAAATTAAACAAAGTGTTCTTACTTAATTTTTATAGCTGCAACTTTTGGCCTTCAAATTTTAAAAATAAATCCTAAACATTACACTACAAAGTTTTACAATAATTTCCTTTATGCAAAAAATTAACTGTAGAAAATGTTTTCGAAATTAATCTTGCGGCATTATGATAGTGTAAATATAGCCTTAAATATTAATTACTTATATAAAAATTTTAATTTCTAAATAAATATGGTACATTATTACAAAATTTACTACTTAAATTCTTCGCACTCGGCTCCATCCATTCCAATGTTTTCCCTTTCCTGAGAATCAAGTATAGATCTCTTCTTTCTGGATTTGGGTTCTCCATCGGTACTTTCAACAGGAGGGGGATTTTGTGTTTGGGATTCCCCGTTTGTTTTTTGGTCAGTATTCTCTGGTTTGTCACTCCTGCAACCATATAAAAAATATTTTTACTTATGATTTAATATCATTTGTCGATATCTCCCAAATTACTCTTCAATTTTATATGTTACCTCTTTTCCATTGTGACTATCGCTCATGGTTCAAATAAATATTCTCGTTAGTGATAAGCGCTTCTGTATAATAACTGAGGTTTGTAAATATAGCGCTAATATTTATAAGAATCGAATGTAAGAATCGTTTGAGTTATTAACTTGTTTATGATACATACGTGCTTAATCTTGTAGGTGTTTCAAAACAAATTTATTATAATTTACTATGAATGTTTTTGCAACCTGCAAAAATATTTTTATTTTATGTTTTCCTTTGTGCTACCGTACATATCATGAACAATATATTAAATAAATCTGCAATTCCAGATTTCACTTGAACACAATGTCATAATAAAACTTGCGCCAAAATCTATGTCAAATAATATTCTTATTTAACACCTGTTTTATATTTCCTTACGTATTTAATTTATGTGTACAGGTACAATTTTCAATATAAACAAATATTTGTTAGTATTTTTTTTACCTTGGACAAAGCAATATTTTTTTTATTTATTTTAACTAGTTAAGGATTTTATTCTCCAAAAATTGAAATGAAACACAAAAAATGTACATACTCTTTTAGAGATAAACAGTAATATACAGTCTGTTTATTCTCTTATTCTGTTATTTTCATTCTAATCTTGTTTGCATGTTTTGATAGAGTTTTTTATTCTCTTTCCAACCATATGAAATTTGATGCCCTTGCATAACGAAAGTTTTGAGAAAAGATGAGAAATATTTCAGCCTTTTGCTTTAGTTTACGGTACTCGCTTTTTAAATCATATCAAATAGAAGGCGCTGGAAAAACAATTTTGCGTACAACTATCTGTCACAAATCGGTTTGTATGTAATTGTTGTCACCTTTCATGTTTAACTTATGACAAAATGAATGATTTTAATGAAGAAGTTGATATGCTGCAAGTTTATTATAAAGAAAAAACGGTGTTGCAGCTTTACAATCATATTGACAACGTTATCCTAATAGAATTTCCCCTGACAAAAAAAAAATTAGTAAACTTCAAGCATATCTAAGACGGTACAGAACGCTAAAGAAGAAAAGAGTTTCTTTAGGATATAGGCTATAGAATATAGGATTTTAAAAGGAACTATGATGTTCAAGATATTTTATTAGGTACATGAATCATTCAAATGGTCATTTTAGATAAAAAAATCGCGGAGTGCTATTAAATTAGAGGGTTGAAATTGAAGATAGGGGTGAAAAAGCCACTTTTGCAGTTTTTAAATATAGCACGAAAACGAAGCAAAATTTCGGTATAGTTCATAGGAAAAATGTTTGTAGAGAATTGAATTTCTCATCGAAATGGCTTATTTAAAAAATGTAAAAGGAAAATTTTATGCAAAAAATTGTTAATAAAAAAAATAAGATTTTTTGATTTTTTTTACTTTTTGAATAAAATAATTTAGTAAAAACTTGAGAATTTAAGTACAATAAAGTTTATTAATAATGTATATACAGTGTGTCCACGGATGGAGTTGACAAGAGGAGAAATTCTTTTGTTTTTGACTTTATCGAAAAATATCACTCATTTATAAAAAGTTCTGCGTTTTTTTCAAATTGCTTATTAACGATTTTTTTGCATTAAATTTTCCTTTTAAATTTTTATAGGCTATTTCGATGGGAAACTCAATTCTCTAAATAATTTTTCCTATGAACTAGGTATGGCGAAATTTTGCTACGTCTTCGAGCTATAATTAAAAAACTGAAATGGGTGCATTTTCACCCCTATCTCCAATTTCCACCCTCTAATTTAATAGCACTCCGCGATTTTTTCATCTAAGATGATCCTTGAACGATTCATGCAATAAAATTGCTTGAACGTCATAGTTCCTTTTAACCCTGTTTTTTTTATATATATATTTGGACAATAGCCTAATATGCCTGGAATGAAAATCAAGAATTAGATTTACTATTAAATGTGCAAGAAAATCCGACTACTTCCATACCAGGAATCATAATTTAACCGAGTACATTGTATAGGTATAAAATTCTACATAAACATAAATTGTTTCCTTACAAGTTGAATTTGGTTCAACATCTTTATGAAAATGACTGAACAAAGAATACAGTTTTGTCGCTGGTACTTAAATAATGCAAATAATAACCCCAACTTCCCAAAAATGATTTTATGGACCGATGAAAGTAATTCTTCTAACAACAGCATGTTTAACCGCAATACATAAGGGAGCTAGGATAATCCTATAATTATAAGAGAAAGAAATTTTCAAAATCGATTTCATATCAATGTGCAGTGTGGTATGCTACGTTCAAAAATATTAGGGCCATGCTTCTTTGATGGTGAACGGTATGACAGTTTTTTGAAAGATCAGTTACAAGAGTATTTGGAAGAATGAACAGTTAATGAATGTGTCCATATTATTTTCCAACAAGAGGGTGCACCTCAACATAATGCCCCAATAAACATAAATGATTTGATTGCTACATTTCAAGACCGCTGGATTGGTACAAGAGGACCCATACAGTGGCCGCCACGATCCCCAGATACTAATCTATTGGATTTCTTTCTCTGGAGTTTCGTGAAAAACGAACTATATTTAACACCACCAAATAACACTGATCAGTTGAAAGGCAGAATTAGTACCGCAATAAATATATTCCACATAACGTTAAATTAAATGCTAGAAATGTAATTCGAAGATGCGAATTATGTGTCGAAAGAAATGAACAACAGTTTGAACAGTACTTTTAAATTCCACTTCATTTTACATTTTTTGTTTGCATTTAATATTGTATTGTACAATTCTTTGTTTGTTAATATTACTAAGTTATTATTACATACATACATATTTTTCCTATAGCTTAACTGTCTTAGATTTGCTTCAAGTTCACTAAACTGTTCGAAAAAATTCTATTAGAACAACGTTGTCGACATAAATGTAAAGTAGCTATACTGATTTTTTGTGCATTCATAATAAACCTGCGGTATATCAACTAAATCATTAAATAACTAAATCATTTTGTTATAAGTTAAAAGGTGACAACAATTACAAACATACCGATATGTGACAGATAGCGGTGATATGCAAAATTGTTTTTCCAGGGCCTTCTATTTGATGTGATTTAGAAAGCTAGCACCGTAAACTAAAGTCAAAGGCTGAAAGTTTTCTTATTTTTTCTCAAAAAGTTTGTTATGCAAAGGCATACAAATTTCATATGGTTGGAAAGAGAATAAATAAATATCAACAATATGCAAAAAAATTTATACAATCCCGTTTAAAAAAAATATCGATGACGACACCATTCATCTACAATGTGAGGAAAACAAAAAAACTTTACAGGGTGTCCAAAAATGGGTAACCGAGTTATAACTTAGGGCCTTTATAATCAAACAGACTGTATGTATGACTGGTTATCCCATTATTCTCTTTTTATTGCCATTTACTCTTTTGCTGTCGCAATATATTTGTATGAGACAAAATCTAAACATATAAAAATGAATGCGTAATCGAATTTACAGTTAAACTGTGACAGATTCATAGAATATCAGGACACATTCTTCGTTTGAATTAAGGTTCATGAGTAATCACGAATTAATTTTGGGTTAGTTTGGAAGACAAAAACTATTTTTTTATCATCTCTAATAAGCAACATTTTTCGAAAATTATTGTAGTATACTGCTAACGTTTAAACTCACTCGTAATTGCATTCTTTGCAATTTTTCAGAAACAATAGTTTTGCTTATTGGTAATATAAAAATTTTTTAACAGAATTATTCTGTTAATGTCAGTTGTAACCGTAAATCATATAGTTCTAATGATTTAAGACCAAAACACACTTTAAAAATTTAAAGTACCTGCAACTTTTGCAAATTTGATTAATATGAAGATCAAACACAAGTACTTAAATTTTTAATTATTATTAACAAAAAGGTAAGTACCTAACCCGGACATGTATGCATTCAATTAGCAAATTTTAAACTTGAAATGTCATCGGCAATTTTAAAAATCAATCACAGTCCAGAAGTATTACATAAAATACACTCAGAAGTTTCGGAATTCATTAATTCATTATATGCATATTGCAATCTAATTACGGATATAATTAATTACGTTAATAATAAGTTCACGTTGTTGACAAGCGCGAGATTAAGGAAGAACGCATTCGGCTAAAAGCGGACAGCGGATTTACAAAAATACACGTTTCCCCGTTTCCCTTACTATGTCCAGCGCACATTTGTAGGCGGAGCTAACTCAGACGCAAACTTATTTGTGTTGGTCTGTGTATCCTTGTAGGTATGTACCAATATTGCTGATTTTATGTATCTATACTTAAACTAATTATTGGTTCGGAATACTAAAACTAGTATCTACACTGGCCAGACATGCAATCCTTCCAAAACTATATTTTTGTATTAAATTTTTATATTGAGAGTGTGATATTTATTGTCATTATTTTATTAACCACCAAAACATATATCTTCTAGTTCATGTTTAACCACAATTTATTATAATTGAAACAGTTGAATGCCATATTGCGATCACGTGTAAAAAAAATCTAGTACATGTCAGGTAACATGTCAGTATCTGTTATCGTGTGTATACTTTTCTATAAGATAATCCTTAATTTTTATATTTTTATTGTTACTGAGATAACTGAATGGAGTAAAATATCCACATATTGTAAAAATTCCTACAAAATCAGACTGAGAAAAAAAGCAATAAGCTAAAAATTGATTTCTACATAAAAAATGTACTCTTTTTTCAACAATAATAATATGGGTTTGACTATAGCAGCGTAAAATTTAAAAAAAAAATAATATTTTCTATTGTAAATTGTAGACATTTCCAAAATTTATTTTTTTTGTTTTGTTTATTAGATTATTTACATTAAGACTTTTTCGAAACGGCCAAATAAATTACCTATTTTACTGTTACTTTAACAAAAACGCCAGTGAAACAAATTAGTTAATTAAATTAATTTTAATTACATATTGTAGTATAATTACATGTAATTATACTATATTAAGAATATTTCCCTCTTTTCCCGTAATATTCCTAATTTGCAGATTTTCCCAAATGGAAAATTTCCGGATGCGCGCAATCTTATTTGAGACAGATCGACTTTATAAACTTAGATTGTGGAAGTAGAATTCTAATCTGCTTTTATTTAGTTTTTAACAATAGATTTTTTAACATTTTACAATACAATACGACACAAAGTATAATCTTTCAAAGCCATTTGTTTAATATACGGATAATTACAGATTATTATATTGTATTGTTAATATAAATAAAGACGCTAAAAATACATGTTCCCAGTACAAATAATTGTCACTGAGGAACAGACTAAAATGACGTGATTTTGATCAATTTTTGAAACCACATTTCTTTGTTCAATTCGCTTGTATTTCTAACTATGCAATATGATTGTAAACGATATTTTTTTGAAGAAGTTCATAGTATTGTATTTATATTACAAAAAATTGCACAACTTATATAGGGAATTGATACTTGAAGTTGATTTTAATGTAGAAAATATACCAAACAAACACTGCGATTATAAGAACATAACAGAATCAAAGACAAAAAAGTTTGACAACACCTGACATCAGTTAAAATGTGTTAAGATATAGATTACTATCAAAATAGAATCCGATAAAATTTCATACAGACCTACAGTTTCAGTTTAAAATAACCTATATGAAAAGTCACTTTGACTAACATCTGATGATCTTGGTGGCCGTTCTCTTTCTATAAATTAATGTTTCGATATAAACAAAAAATGTTTTTACAATTTTTACTTTCATTTAAAATGGATTAAAGCTAATTCAAAACAAGTTTAAAAATGTTCCTAAAATTCTTATCTGATGAAGTCACTTCATATGCTCTTTGACACCAACAGTATTAAAAATGTATAATTAAAGAAAATATGTCACCACAAATAGCAAATTTTAAATTATCTCAAGTCAAGGTCGCACAATTTGCTATTAAAAAAAAATAAGAGCGAAGCCTTCTCGTGGATAATCATCAAAGTATGTTCAAATAAAGAATAAACTTGTCGAAATATTTATTTTTCTTCCTATAAAAAAATAAAATGGGAAGGTTACACTTAATCGTCACATTGTTTGGTTTTGAAACAACTATATGTAGGTATAGTGCTTATTAATGATTTAATTAATTAGTATACTTTAAGAATGCAAAGCAAAATTAATGGATTTATTGTCGTCTTTATTTATACCTACTTAAATGTCCTATATCAAAATAAAATGTTATCAAGTTACAGGCACTTCAAATATCTGACCTCTGAACAGTAGCTTATTGAATTTGTTATCCTCTTCAAGCCTTTTTCAATATTGTCAGCACTTTAAACCTTCTTAATTAAATATTAATCCTTAAAATTACTTACATTTTCGAACAAATTGCAGTTATCTTCAGCAACACACCACTAGAAGTCGTCTTCAGTTACAATCAGATCCGTAGGTGTTACAGACTTAATTCTACCTAGCCGGTGGAAATATTATTGAAAAATGAAAATTATATTGCACTCATCCAGTTTACAACAATATATTAAGCGAAAGATTAGATACCTTTCCTTATCTAATAATGCCACACAGTGTTTATTCTGTCAGATAAGACTCCCACATGGATCTCAATACAAAAATTGCGTCTGGGTTATTTCTACTTAACATGATAATCGTGACCAATAAAATATACAACTTCGCTATTTTCGTCAGGGTCGAAAGTTTAGATTATTTAACTCTCGGTAAACGTCCAGAATCTAAATTAAAAATAAATAAAATGAATCAAGCACTGAATTTTGAATGTAGCAATTATTTACTTTATTGTTCAAACAACAATTTTATTACTACATTGTTTCAATCCATTCAGATTACAAGCGACAGAATAACAAATCAATTTAATGATCACTTTAATAATTTTAATATCTTTAATTCGCGCAACAACAGCTTATGCTCCGTGAAAATATTCTTACATACCAAACACTACTATAAACGCTTATAAATTTGGGCTGTTCACAGAGCCATCACAAATTTTATTATGTTGTAAATACTAATATCACAAACAATATAGCGTATCGCCACTAATATTCAGTACTGACCTACTTCGAAAGAAGACCGTATGTGCACATAGCTATGACAGTTATTATAACAAGTTGGTTAAAATTATAAGAATTTCATCTTAATGGATATTTTGTAATGTTTTATAACAATTTGTCACACTGTCATTTGCCCATGGCCAACTTGTTATAATAGAATTTTTTTAAAAACCCTCTTTTTGTTATTAAATGGTAAATATCTCAGAAATTAATAATTTTAGCTATAGGGAATGCTTTATAAAAATGAAAGAACATAAAGTGTATTTTCAGTTTTTTAAATAAAATACAAGATGATTCATTTAAAAATTGAGAAAATTATGTTCTCGAGTTTTGGCTCGCCCTATATTCAACTGTTGCAATAATAAAGAAATAGCACTTTCTCTGAACTGTACCAATATCAAAAAGTTATGCCTGCAAAAAATTATAAATTAATAAAATAAATAAATTAATTAAATCCTATATTGGAAGCATGGGAGAGATAAGCATAATCTAAATTTGAAATAATATATAGGGTATCCCATTCAAAAAATAGTAGGTTTGGTTCACCCTGGTAATACGTAACACTCTGTATATACGAAAATATTTTTAAAATATGCAGTTTTAAATTCGCTACAATTTTTGTAAATAACTTTTTTTCATGTCTTGTATAATAACGGAGATATTGTACTTCGACGAACTAATGCCGCACCCTGTATCTTCTAGATCTAGATCAATAGAAAAAATGTTGTATTTTTTGCTTGAAATTGGATTCTGAACCAGATCCTAAATGTTTTTCCTCCTTGTATAAATAACCCAGTATTTTCTTATTCCAGGATATTTCGACTTTTTGTATACAAATAAATCAATTCACATACATCTTTAATTCCTGCTGTCTTGATAATAGCATACATAATTCTCCTTCAGTATATTTTATTTATATATTTATTAATAATCTCGTCAATAAATCAAATAGACAGTTCCACAACAAAGATATGAAACAAATTGAAGTGATCCACTTGATCAGAGTATTTGGAAATCCCCATGGAATATCAGATCAATGAGTTGCTGATTTATACATATACAGGGATGGCCAGAAGTACGGAATAAAATTCATATCTTTTGAATTACGTAATTTTTTTTTAAAACGTCGATACACGTTAACTGATTTTGATTTTTCCCATCTCTCGGTTATATAATAATTAATTTTTCTTGAACCCCCTAACCCCCAGCTACCCCTACTTTTTTTTCAAATGGAAACATAAGGCATGAGGGGGCTCGTTGAAAAGCTTATAGAAAACCGAATCCAGCCATACCAAATAAACAAGTTTTATTTTTTCAATAGCAAGGTTTTTAGGGTTGTATAAAACACCTACTTAACAAGTGAAATAAAATTTAATTATCTTCAGTGTTATCCTCCATGAATTTGCACAGAATAAAATAAAGAATTTGAAACTGTACCTATCACTGCTAACGCAAAAAAGATATATTTTTTATGTTGCGTTTTTTTGGCACCACTTACTTGCCAGGCTTTCTGGTTAATTTTTCGCTTTAGTTGTAAATTGGAGTTTGAAACGTTACTATTGTGTCAAAATCAAGTTATTTACTGAATTGCAATGGTATTGTCGGAAAGGCAACGCATCGAAATCTTGATATTGCTTGGATGTGGAGACAAAATAAGAAGTCAGGCTGAAGTGCGCGATTTATTTAATGCGAAATATCCCGAAAACCAAATCTCGCAAGGGACAGTTAGTAAAATATTTCACAAATTTGAGGAACACGGTACAGTACAGACTTTGCCCAAAACTGGACGGGCACGTGCTTTGAATGAAGAAAAGAAATTAGACATTGCATTAGAACTTGTTGAAAATCCTCATACTTCAACTGTTTCATTGGCCCGCAATCACGATGCTTCTCGAACTGCAATTCGAATGTTTCTGAAACAAGAGAAATACCACCCCTATAAGGTATGTCTTGTCCAAGAGCTTTTGGAAGACGATTATGATAGGCGATTACAATTTTGTGAGGAAATGATGAGACGGTGTGACGACAATAATGGTTTTCAACGAGACGTACTTTTTTCGGATGAAGCTACGTTTTATTTAAATGGAGTGGTTAACAGGCACAACTATCGCTTTTGGTCCCAGGAAAATCCACACTGGACATGCGAATCGCATACGCAGCATCCACAGAAAGTTAATGTATGGGCAGGTATCATCAACAACAGAATCTTGGGCCCATTCTTTTTTGAAGAAAATCTTACTGCCGCACGCTACCTGGATTTCCTAACATTTGACCTGATACCTGCTCTAGCTGTGATTTTCCCTCATGAAATTGATCCAGATATACCGAATGAAAGAATTTGGTTCCAACAAGATGGCGCTCCCCCACATTTTGGTATTGATGTTCGAAGATACTTAGATGAAATGTTTCCAAATCGCTGGATTGGTAGACGGGGTACAGTTGAATGGCCGCCAAGATCCCCCGACTTAACACCCCTGGATTATTTTCTTTGGGGATATTTGAAAGAAAGAGTCTACCAGGACAGACCGGATAATATTGAGAATTTAAAGAACAAGATTAGGGCGGAGATGCATAATTTACCAGCTGAAGTCATTCAGAATGCTGTGGACAGCTTTTACTATCGTCTTGGAGAATGCCAAATAGTGAATGGAGGACATTTTCAGCATTTGCGACATTGAATTTATTTTTGTAAATTATCTAGTTGTTTCAATTTCTAAATGAAAAAAACTTGTTAATGAAAAAATAAAACTTGTTTATTTGGTATGGCTGAATTCGTTTTTCTATAAGCTTTTCAACGAGCCCCCTCATGCCTTATGTTTCTATTTGAAAAAAAAATAGAGGTAGCTGGGAGTTAGGGGGTTGAAGAAAAATTATTATTATATAACCGAAAGATGGGAAAATATCAAAATCAGTTAACGTGTTTCGGCGTTTTAAAAAAAATTAATTCATTCAAAAGATATGAATTTTAGTCCGTACTTCTGGCCATCCCTGTAAATCAATTTGTACCAATTATCACTCTCACAGTTTAAATTTGTTATCCTAAAGTTTTGCCAAACTTTAGTGGCGTATTCTACCGATAAAAATAATCAAGTTTTGCCCTATTAAAATTTTTGATAGGACGCTTCCCTACGGAGATACAGGGTGTTAAAAATTTCAAATATTTATATTATTTTTCCTGTAACTTCACTGGCATAAAAGATTGAGTCATAAAATTTGGGGGATGACATTTTTTTAGTAGGGACTATTTTTTCATGGATAACTTATTCCAAAATACACTCCAGTGGCATAGTTATTGGAGGAGTAGGGGACTGGTTTTTTAAATAATTTTAAATGTTTTTTAAACGTACAATCAATTTGTGGCAATAAAGTATTCGTAAAATTTACTGGTATTTAGATAATTGGAAAATCAAATAAGAAGATACTTAAGTACTTACGTTGCTAATTACCATTCTCTATTAATTGCTAAATGTGTAACAATAAATTCAATGGCTAATATTTTTGAGAGATTTTAGAAACACCATCACAAGAAATGTTCAAAATGCTGTCCTTGGGATGCAATGCATGCTGGGCAGCGTATCCACATTGATCGTTTTATACGCCTCATAATTCCAGCCGTATTGTGTATGATTGAGAAACCCTCTACAATGCACTGTCGAAGTAGTTCTACATTGGGAACTGGAAAACGATATACCATAGTTTTGAGGTAGCCCCAAAAAAATTAATCCAAGGGATACAGGTCGGAGGAACGAGCCGGCCAAGCAATGGGTCCTTCTCTACCAATCCAGTGATTAGGATACTGTATATTCAACATATGTCTAACGGTAAAGCTGTAATGAGGCGGCGCATGGCGCCCCATCATGCATATACCACAATAATTGATGTAACCTCAATGGCACTTCTTCTAGAAGTAATGGTAATTCTTCTTGTAGGAACCTTTGATAAGTTCTACCATTGAGGGTTCTGGGTAAAATGTAGGGACCAATCAAGTAATAGCCCACATTGCCTGCCCAAACATTCAAATAAAACTGTTCTTGGAATCTTCGTTGGGAAATTATAGGTATGCTGATTTTCATCCTCCCATTGGTGGTTATGACAATTCGAAATGGGTTTACTTATAAATTTCGCTTCATCTGTAAATAATATTAATAAGTGAAAATTAGACTGTTCACATCGTTGTAAAAACCACTGACAAAATTCAATTCTCGGTTGATAGTCATTTTCATTTAATGCATGAACTCGCTGGACATGATATAGGCGTAAGACTTTCCAGATTGTTACATGTGATACGCCCAAATCTGTTGATAATCTGTCTAGTACTGGTAAATGGGTCTTCATCTACAGATTCCAAAATTCTGTCTTCCAAATGAACTGTACGAACAAGTTTTTCTCTTGCTGGACGTTTTGGTAGCGACAAACATACAGTTTCACGAGCTCGACGGTGAACGCTTGAAAAAGTATTCCTTGTTGGACAACGTCGATTTGGAAAAGTTTGTCTATAAACTCGTTCAACTTGTCTAG